CAGTATGTGCTCTTCCATACATCTCTATCAGCCGACATATCTGAATACACTCCTTTCTTAAGCATATCCTCTTTCACACAATCCATCCACACTTTCTTCGGTCTTCCTCTTTGTAGCCATCCACATTCAGTCTTAACACTTTCTGGTTTATATCCCCATCGTCTTGTAGCATAACATGTCCATTTGAGAACAAGCATAGGAATGGGCAAAATCCTCTTTTTGTCCAACTCCTCTGTCGATTAAGGGTAGATAACATCTGCGATTGCGGATGTCTATGGGATATCGTTTCGCTTTTTTGGCGAATTCAGGTAGCCGCTCGTTTTCCTCCTTATCATATAAAAACGTCATCAGCTCTTACAAGGGTCATAATTCATAACGCTCTGTTATTGCTCACATTTATGTTTCGCAATAAAAGTGTTTGTAATAAAAAAAGCATAAAAGAAAAATTAATGTCCCTGACCTGGTTACGTATTGTAGGTTATTGCCAAACACGTGATAAGGAAGACATCATTAATGTAAATATTTTTTTGGTTTGCAATAAATAAATAAATCAAATATCTTTAAAACAAGGGTAAACAGTTACTTATTAAGCTAGCGCGTACCATATTTCGATTGCATCATCTTCTTCAGGTAGGATCGTGGTTTCCTGAGAGGGAGCTGCCTCAGCAGTAGACGCAGGTGGGGTATCGGACTATGCGTGAGAGGAACAGAGGGGCTTAGTGGGTATACCCTATTATGGGGAGAATCCCACATAGCTACCGCGTCCCCCTGGACGCAGAGTATGCATAAAGCATTCCACTCTGGAAAAAAAAAGGTCAAGCGCTAGCTGAACGAACATAAAACAAAATTATCAAAAGTAATAAAAATCTCAATGTATTCCTCTAGATTTAGTTGGATGGATGTATGTTAGAAGCTATCTCCTAATAGAACAGATCTTGATAAAATTTGGCATTTATATAGAGCATAGTCTGGAAGATCACATAGGCTACTTACTATTGCTTTTTTAATTCCACGCGGAAACGGACGAATTCTATTTTTAATATTATTTTGCAAATTCTTTTATATACTGAAATTTAAACACAAAACCATTATTCAAATATCAAGGTTAGATACGGTTAGTAACAAATTTAATATTCCAAATATACACAGAAGATAATTAAAAACTTATATTGCTTAAAAAAAATAACCTAACGGTAACAAGTTTGCTGCATTAGCGACAGCAGCAGGTACCCGATGGGCCCCCTCGGGGGTACTTAAAAAAACATTCCATAATTTAATTTTAATTGCAAAGTAATTTAACATTGCGTTTGCTTGTCAACTGTTCATAAACACCAAATAGAGTTTAAACTTTTACCGATGACGTAATTAGTTAACCCCCCCCCCATTTCAAAGTTTCAGCGTCGTGGAGGGATTCATTCTGAACTTAACGCTACGAAATACGCTCAAAAGTAATTAAGTAAAATTTACAATTCGTATACTGCAAACTTTAATGCAGCTTACAAGCCCGGCGGCAAGGCAGGGCGTGGTGGATCCGCCCTGGGCGGTGGACAGAAATGGGCGACACTTGTCTGCGTATTTCAGTCTACAGAACTTGTTACACACCCATTTCCAAGCCTGTAAAAAGAGGACGCCGTAACCTCGCCCAGGGCTCTTTAAGCACTAAAACCGGTACTATTTTTTTTAAATCATATATGTAAATGCATAAAAGAGCTAAATTCCTTGAAACGATGCTGTCACTCGCAATATATTTATGTTAAAAAAACCTCAGAGATTTAGACTAAAATAACTGTAATCAATACAAATAATAAAATTGAAGAGTCTGTTTGTATTACAAAAAGAAAAATTCCAGATTTTGGGAAGATAATGTATTGGCGTTGCTGATAATGAAATTTACACAAAAAAAATTTTTGCCTGTCTGTTTGTCTGTCTGTCTGTCCGCAAGCCGCTTTTGTTCCGGGTAACATCCCAAACGGCTAGGCTGATTTTGACCGGACTTTCACTGGAAGGTAGCTGACATATACGGGCATATTATAGACTACTTTCTATTTTAATATTGCGTGAACGAAGTCGAGGGCAACAGCTAGTTTATAAATATGTTATAAAAGTATAGGTGTAGTGTTTTAACCCACCATGAACAACACCCGATTTAACTTTTATTTCATTTACCTAAAAAAAGTAATAATTAACTTGGAAACTGCAATGAATCTTGCTGTAACTTAATTTAAATATTCCATTAAGATAACACATAAATAAGGAAACGTTTTACGTTTAGTTAAATTGAACAACCGAAACGAGAATTTGTGTTTAAATTTACAAGTTTCTCCGCAAATAGTTTAGCGATATCCATTAAGGATTCTCGAACACAAACAAAACTCTTGCTGCGCTCTGTACAATCGGATAGCCACGCTAATTTCCGTATTACGTAATTGTGAACATCGTTCTAAATATGATACCCGAAATCTGGTTTCATTCTTAATAATCTAATCTGAAACACCTAAATCTAAATTAAAACATACTTATGGTCGGATTCCTAGCTACATTTAAATTCGTTATTGGTTTTACTTCGATAACTTCATTAAATACCTTTCCAGACCTACTTAATATTATGCATTCCATGTATAAACAATAACAAATACGAATAACAGACCACTCCCTTCCACTTAAAATATTTTTAATTCAATTTAAGTTATTAATCGATAACATTAAAGTAATTGTTGCGATTTTAAAAAAACGTGGATGTCTACAAAGGAAGAGGAAGACCGAAGAAAGTATGAATGGATTATGTGAAAGAGGATATGCTTAAGAAAGGAGTGGATTCAGATATGACGGCTGATAGAGATGTATGGAAGAGCAGCACATTCTGTACCGACCCTCCGAAAGGATAAGGGCAAGTGGATGATGATGCGATTCTAAAAAACAAACAAAACGCTTTTGTCATCTAAAACTTTAAATTAAATATTAACCAATTCGCTATTATTATAAATGCGAAAGTTTAGATGGATGGATGTTTGTTAGAGTTTGTAGCCTAGACGGCTGAACAGATTCCGATTAAATTTGGTATGGATGTAGAGGATAGTCTGGAAGAATACATAGGATACTCACTTTTGTTTTTTTTTTAATATCACGGGACCGGAGACGCGGGCGAAAACTAGTTCTTGGTAATTTTAAAAAAAGGTTAACATAAGAGACAAATTAAAAACAACCTTATTTTAACATGTTAAGTACTAACAATTCTTTTATCTATCTTTCAATCTCTTGGTCCTGTTGACAAGTGGTACTTCAATAATTTATTAAGATACGCAGTTCCTCTGCTATCCGCCAACCTCTTGAACCGATAGATCCGCCTGATAGACCGTGCGGCGTGTTTGAGGTCAACGATGGATATAGAATATTGTTGCTATAAGCATATTATTATATTTTATATCTACATAACTTTCGCCCGCTTCATCTGCGTGTAACAAAAATAGTTAATAGCATATATCCGTTCACCAGTTTTGGTTACAAAATATAACAAACATCTATCTAAATTTACGCATTTATAATATTAGGTAGATTTTAAATATATATTTAAATAAATATGCATGCAAAGAATGCAATCTTACTAATATTATAAATGCGAAATTTAGATGGATTGATGTTTGTTAGAGTTTGTAGCCTAAACGGCTAAACGGATGTCAATGAAATTTGGTATAGATGTAGAGGATAGTCAAGAAGAACACGTAGGATACTCACTTTTGTATTTGTTAATTCCACGCGGACAGAATCGCGGGGGAAAGTTAGTTTTAATATAAATCGCGAGATTACCAACAAATGACAAACATTTATTTTTCCGTTCATTTTGTGAATATTTACGCGTAACAGAGCTATCATATCGTATGCAGTGTGATAGTGGACGCGATTGCTTAATATTCCCCGGCGTCCAGTGGCGTCCAACAGCGTCCAATAGCGTCCAACGGCGCCCGACAGCGTCCCGGCGACCTCGCATTAATTAACACGACAGTTTGGTCGCATCGCTTTCACGTTTAACTTTTGTATATCGTTCGTGGTTACGGTTTAATTTCGTATTTACTCATATTTTAATATCCATTTTATGCAGCATCAAGTTAATTTATAGAGACATTTACATTATTCCGACTTATTAATATTATTTTGAAGAAAAATAAATCTTAAAGTTATAAAGGTGACAGTGTACATTAAAAAAAGCTTTAACTATTCTTTATTAGGTCAATTATGTTTTCATTGCATGTTCAAAATTGACTTTTTAAAAATTAATTTCACAACTTTTCTTTTTAAAGTGAAGATACAAGACGGCTAAAACTAAGAAATTGTTTTATAGTTCTGATGCTGCGACTACCACAATTTGCCAAAATAAAGACGCTAGTTAAGTAACATTATACAGCGTATTTCTAAACCACTGTGCAAAAAAATTCGTTAAATATTCCATATTCTTTACCAACGCGCTAAGCCGGTGGCGAATAGTCTTCTATGAAAAGTTACAAAATTATAACCGGAAGGAAAAATTCAATGAAAACCAACAGTTACATAAATACCAAGTCAACACCAAACTTTATCCCCACGTCATTTTCAAAAATTTGTATCTAAATAAATGCGCGGCTCAATTTTCAAACAGAAAGGAATTATTAAACTATGTGGCTAAGGTTTCCTTATTAAGTTTTAAAAATAACACAATCAAAATTTGATAGAATACCGAAGTCATTGGATTTTTTTGTCCCACTAATGCACGATAAAGATTGTTGGATGCTGCTTTCGCTATTGTTGCCCTTAATCCGCTTCTCAACTAAGGCTCTTCGTCTAATAGGAGAAAGAGAATCGAGAATCAATGACCTTCCAATAAAAGAACATGGTCCATCTTCAAAAGATATGCTAACAGATTAAATTCAGACATGAAGGATAAAAAAAGATAACAGAAGCACACTGGCTATAGAGATAAAAGCATGGAAACAAATAATCTTTTTCTATAACAATAATTATTTTTACAGCACGGGAATGCGACAACGTCAAGCGAGACATCCGTGGGCACGAACACAGCAACGGCACCAGCGGCGGGTCCAAGCCGTGCACCGCCGCCTGCAGCCAAGTTCCGACACGGCCTGCTGCAACTCATGATACATACGATCGACCCTATGCACGACGGTGAGTTAGGTACGCACCGCTTCGCTTTACACTTACTTATGTACGCTTAAGATAACACTTTGAATTCAGTTGTTACTTAACTTGTAAAAAATTCCGTTATTTATATCTATACTAATATAATAAAGCGTAAACACACTACTTTGTGGCGTAGGATGTCAGCAATCATTGCATATTTTTGAGTAATTCTTGTTACAATAGAGAGCCCTACAGTTACGACACGCTTTAGGCTATATATTTTCACGCTATTAAACTTAGGGGGTAAAAAAATTTGAAAACATTCATGTGGGAAAGACCATAAACTACAAGCTGCCAAAATTAAGGAAACCTTGCTTCCTTAATGTTGGCAACATATGGTAACATTGATTTTGACATTTGCAATTGAGAACAGCTAGTGATTTCTAAAACACGCTATCTACGTTCAGTTCTGACATATTTAACTGAACAGAGAAAGCGACTGTTAAATGTAAACTGTTGGACTTGAATGTATGAAGTGGGCTTTAAATTGTTTAAAATATAACCCTTCGAGATATAAAAAAATATTAAAACGTATGTCTAGGACAGACCTCATTTAAGATAAAGAATCTGTAAATGTTGGCCGAAATATTTGAGTATTCCATTTATTGAGTTACAGTTTTAAAAATAAGTAATGACTGGATTCAAAGTTGTATAATTTGTAAGCCAGTTTCAGTCGAGCGATGTTTGTACATCACGGATTTACTAATACCGGCCGTCTTTTGTTCTTTTTGGTATTTACGCAATCTCGAGCGCAGCAGTGTACAGCGCTGTAAGGCTGCAAATGTCTGAAGTAGGTCACTTCGCCTTTTAAAAGAAACAAGCGAGCCAAGAGAGTAATTTAAGAAAATGTACATCTCTGCAAGCATATTTTGTCGCATGTCTTGAAAATTATTCGAGAGAGAAAAGATCTTTTATGTGATTTAAATCACCTGTTCAAAGTTGCGCTGCCGCAGTAAATATTGTTGAATGCTTGCACGGGTTATAACATGCTATTTTGCATAAAATGAACGCGTTATTTCAATTTTAAAACTCCAAAATACACAAACGTTCAAGTCAACTACGACAGTGTGTTTAAACATTTATTTACAGGATTGTCAACCTTTTTATTGTGCGCTATTTAAAAACCAATTGGTACACAATTTATTTTTTATTTCTTTTTTTAATTTTTACGATAATCTCATCTACTTACCTAAAAATTAGTTCGTAAACGGCTAGTAAATTAGTCGAGTACTGATTTAAAAGCTAAAATACTCTCTTCTGTCCAAAATTCATTCGCACTACCGTAGTATATGTAAGAGATGTTTTACAAGTTAAACGTTAGCTAATGTTAAGAAATAAATCGATACCGTTCCGGTGTAGCACAACACTATATCATTGTCATACACGGCCCATCACTATGACAGCTGTCAATGTCAATTAGAAGTGTTAATGATAAGCGCGCCATTCTTAACAGTAATCGTTAGTCTTAATATAAGAGTGGTTACAATAATATTATTGTCTAAAATCTGTTCAGCTGTTGAGTATTTAGGTAGTGACGCGTGGTTGGGGGTGCTACTCTTTACCAATAAATACAACTATGGATGGATTTGCCTAGTCTGCCTAACTATCCGAATTTAATTTTTCAGATACGATGATTCACTAAATTACTACTGTAATTATTGGTCTGGTCCGAATTAAGCTTTAACAAACTAACTACACCTATTTGTACATATTTTTAAAATGAATTTGAGTGTATTCTTTCAATTCTTTGAATATTTCCCGATGGTGGGATACACGCTTGTTCACGCAATTATTTGATTGAGCTATTTAGCAAACATTTGTCACAGCGATTGTTTTGCTATATTTCAAGCTTTTTTTTTAAGGTTTTAAAGCTAGCGCTTGACCACGATCCCACCGACTGAGAGTGAAGATTTGGTCGAAAGATGGTACGCGCTACCCTAGCTTAAAATAATCATTTCTTAAGATTTCATGTATATACTAGACATACGTTTAATTCACAACTATTGATCGCGTTTATAACATTGTCTAAAACTAGCTTTCGTCCGAGACTCTGTCCGCGTGGTATAAAAAATTCAAAGTAATGCCTGTTTTCTTCCAGACTATCCTCTGCAGCTATGCCAAATCGAAATCCGTTCAGCTGTTTAGCTACAAACTCTAACAGATTTGCTCTAAACTTTCGCATTTATAATATTTATGTATATCTACTTTTCTTACTATCTTACTAATATTATAAATGCGAAAGTTAAGATGGATCGATGTTTGTTAGAGTTTGTAGCCTAAACGGCTGAACGGATCTCGATGAAATTTAGCAAAAATTTAAAATATAGTCTGGAAGATTACATGGGCTATTCAATTTTGTTTTTTTTTTCCACGCGGTCGGAATCGCGGGCGTTAGCTAGTATCTAATGGAAGTAAGAACTATGTATTGTCGTATTATAAAACTGTCTCCGTTAATGATATATGCGGTATTTCTACTTTATATCAGTTTAAATTTGCACAATTGCTTGTTTTCTATGTTACAACACAAATTAGAAATTCCTCAGCCTGTTTAAGCTTTGGACTTCAACTTTGGTATGTGACATAATGCTAACAAGCTTTTTAGTGTAATATACGTACCTACAGTACGTTATTTTGTATGAATATAAATTAATAGTTAAAGGTTTGTGGTATAATAAAATTATTTTGGATACGATTTCGCGCGGAATTAATAAAAATTGATTCCTTCCACAATATGTTCTGCATCTGCGATGAACATTGAGATGTATTAACTTTACATAGTAACTAACATCCATCCATCCAAACTTTCGCATATACAATATTAGTACATATAAAGTGTGATAAACAAAAATTATGTATTTACTTATACTAAGTGATAGATAAATTTTAATTATTTTAATCTACTAGTTTTCGCGCGCGACTTGTCCGCGTTGAGTTAAAAAAAAAAAAAACAAAAGTAAGCCTATGTGTTCTTCCACATATATGCTCTACATCTATGCCAAATTTCATCTAGATTCGTAAAGCTGTTTAGGCTACAAACTCTAAAAAACACCCATCTAAACTTTCACATTTATAATATTAGTAAGATTGCAAATGTTACTATTAAATGAAGATAACAAGAAAGAAACCGTCAGAAGAAAACTTAGTAGTCTCATGTATTAGTAATTTAAAGTACTAAATTTTTCTTAATTAATAATGTACTTTTTATTACTAAACACTTGTGACTACAGAAACTTCAGCTGCAAGAAAACCTTCAAAGAAGAAAGAAGAGAACATTTTATAAAAATAGCATAAAAACCTGTTAGTTTTGTAAAACATTTAAAAAGAAAATTCGCTTCCCATACCAACTAATTCTACAGTAAACTCTATCTATAATAACTATAGAAAGTCATAACAGTGCGCACAACTGAAACAAAACTATCACACAACTGTTTAGTCCCGCTTTGATTCCTATGAGCTTATAGAGAGGTGCGCACACACGCTTTTTAGTTTGCAACTAAACAGTTGAGTCGACTTTTTTATAATATAAGGTGACAAACGAGCACGGCTGAATCCAGCGAAATGGAAAGTGACCGCTGACCATAAACATCCGCAATTGCAGATACGTTGCCTACCCTTAATTGACGGAGGAGGAGACGCACATAAAGAGGACAATTCCCCTTCCTATGCGTCTCTTCCACCGTCAAATCCACTTTTCCTTCCCATCCTCTCCTCTTAAGTAAAGGGTGGAAAGGGAAAGGGACTAAAATTAGGCCTCCTGCACCACACTCATCAGACGAAACGCAGAATAGCTTCCACTTCACGCCTGTTTTCTGTGTGGTCGTGGTATTACAATGGTATATTACGTGGTAAAACAATCGACAATCGGTAGTAAACCGCTCAGTTCGCTTCGATGATAATTGTTTGTACAAACTAATGGGTAGAGTATGTTCCAAGTTAATTGCAAGATCATGTCATTAATGTTATATTGCCTCGTCTCTGATCACTAGGAATTAATGCATAAATTACTTAGTGTAGAAAAGCACGCTGTATACGTTATGTATATCACAATGTATGTTTTTATATTATTGTTATTACTTCTTATATATATTATATCTATACTAATATTATAAAGTGTTAAGATTGAATGTGGATGACTACAAAGAGGAAGACCGAAGAAAGTATGGATGGATTGTGTGAAAGAGGATATGCTTAAGAAAGGGGTGGATTCAGATGTGTCGGCTGATAGGGATGTATGGAAGTATTCGAGTTGATAATGATGACTAATATTATAAAGAGAAAAGATTTGTATTTTTGTATGTAACTATTGAAGTAATTCACAAATTCACACTATTAAAAAGCTACGCTATCAGTGAGTAACATAGGCTCATCATATCCCCTGCCTTATCCTACTCCCGTAGTGTCGGCGCACCGGGTTTTCGTCCTCCAAATAACTCTATCATCCGTCATCTCGGTCATCACTCCCTTCTAGATCATGTCACCTTTCACCCAATCCATCCATCTCTTTGTAGGTCTATCTCTACCGGTGTACCTCTACATTCATAACTAACGTCTTCTAACTTCTTGTAACATGCGATTTATCCCTTCTCATAACATGTGGCAGTTAGTTCTATATTTTGTTGGTATAATTGTGCTAATTTCGGAATTATTGTATTTATATATTATAATAAATTACATATCTCTTTTTATGGATTCTGTTACTTTATGTTTTTATTTTGGTAAGGTAAAGCGAATAAAGCATAATGGATAGGTATTTTATTTTGTAATTTATTATAATCTTGTTAATTTGTTATTGTCAACTTAATTTTCATAGTTAAAGAGTCTATTTTGCATTATCAATGTTCATAAAATTATATCTTGGATAAATCGAGTTTCCAGTAACGAACGAAACGCCCTTGACCTGTCGAGTTGTCGAGTGCAGTTGTAGTGACAGGTCTTGCACCCGCTGAGGCGCTACTGAGCCGTTATTAACTGGGACATGCAAATTTGTATCGATGTAGTATCGCTTTTTAAAAAAAAAGTTAATTGATTATTCCATTATGGGTACACCAAACGGATTTCCCCTTTAGTATTTTTTTAATTAAGTTACCGTTTGATATTATCTTAATCTTTTTAAAGCTATAACTCTTCTATTCTTATTAATAAGCAAACTGAAAGTGAAATAACATTAAGCGATTGGTTGTTCGTTTGACCTCTTCTCTTGTAAAAAGCTAGTAATAATAAAAAGAAATAAAGCATTAAACTTTTAAAATTGTATGCTTTATGTCTATGATCATTCGGCAGTATTCAACACAGATTAAAAAACAACCTTTTTTCTGTAAGCTTTCGCAAAAGTCCAGTAGACAGCTTAACTCCGACAAGCTTTAATCCGCGATTAGAGCTTTACAACTTGCTGTGTCGCGGTTTCATACTCTAAAAGCTCTACTCTACTGCTTTGAACTTTGCGGCTTATGTAATAGTTTCTTTGATGGAACTTACAGTGAACGTTGTTAGACTGTAGATATAGCGAAAGTATAGTCTAACGAAAGTAATAATGTTGAAAATAAACATGTTCAATCTTTATTTATATCTATAGGTACTTAATATGATAAAGAGGAAAAAAATATTTTTGGATTTTTACATGTATTCCATTCACGTAAAAACTACTGAGCCGATTTTAAAATATCTTTCACCTTCAGAAAGGTAATTTATCTGTGAGTAACATAGTCTGTATTTTTTTTATTTCACGCGGAAAAGTCGCGAGCTACAACTAGTGTGATAATATTTTAAAAAAATCCTCCTGTCAATCTGTTACTGTCCTTCGAAGAAAAATAACATTTTAAGTAACATTTTTCTGTTTTAAAACTTTTTTTCTTAGTACAGTCAGCACAGATGTGTAATCTTTTACAAAACTAAACAATGTGTACAAGTTTGTAAAGATTAAATGTATATGTATTTGTGCAGCTGACTGTACCTATTTTGATCCGTGTATAAAATCTCTGATACAATAAAGCGATTAGAGACTTTGTCGGATAGTTGCTACTTTATAAAGCCTTTCTGTTTACACTTGTTAATCGCTTACTCTAGATTGGCCTAATTACTGTAACACATTGCAGTAATTTGTACAAAACTGACAATTAGCGACATCTATTGTCATTAATTTAAACACTGGACAACTTTGAAAATTTTCATGAAACATTTTCGCGATTTGTAACAATTCACTTTGGTAAAATTTTTATTATCATCTATTGAAATTAATGAATTGCTAAGTATTTCATAATATTCAATAAATTTACTAAAGCAATTGTGTCAATTATTATAAAGAAGACCTGTCCCGTATCTATACTAATGTTATAAAGAGGAAAATGTATCGTTGTATATATTGAAATAACTCAAAAACTACTGGACAGATTTAAGAAATTCTTTCGCCATTAGAAAGGTAATTTATCTGCGAAAAAAAAGGCTAGAACTTTTTATTTCACGCAGGCAAAATCGCGAGCAACAACTAGTCTAATCTAAGACTAGAAAATTTAATGCTCGGATTTCTCTAAAATAACGATTACGACAAAACTAAATGCACGTTGCAATTGCATTTAAGCTGGAATTCCACTAACATTATTACAAGTGCAGCAAATCGTGAAACTTTAATTCGCAGGATAGCGACTAACGTACTGTAACGAGCGTCGGAATTAGGGTTTAAAAATAAACCGTAGATTGGAACATATCTTGTCTCCATTTTAAATTTAGTTACATATGTACGAAATAAAACTCTTCACAATTTAGTATCATGTTCTTTTATTTCTTTTTACATTTCTACCACAAATTACTAAATATAAGAAATTAGAAACAAATCTCTTTTGAGCTGACTCTCTACAGGTTACAAGAAATCTTGTATCCGCGACTAATTTGGCCAAGAATGCCATCGCGACAATAGCGACACCTAGAGCTAACTTCGTTGTACTATTTTAAATATAAAACAGAAATATAGATCTCGTTTTATGTTTTTGAATTCAAATTACATTTTATATTTCACTTACAAAACTTCATATTTTCATGCGATCGAAAGCAAAAATAAAATAAGCGCTGAAACTGCAAAATAAAACAAACTTCAATAGAAGAAATTTATTTTAAAACCATTTCAAACACGATAACAGAAACTTTAATATAAGAGGAACAATTTTTACAAAATAAAACAAAATGTATCTCCAGTTATCAGACAAATACATAAACATTTTTTGCAAAATCCTTCTAAATGACAATCTCTAATAGTTCCGATATTTGAACATCCATCCCTGTACCAACATTTAAAAACATACTAACATCCCTTGGTTCACATTTCTTCCACAGGTAAGGTGGACGACAAAGCCACACAACTGCACGCCATAGCGTCCCTCAAGGTGCTATTAGAAGCTACAAGGCCGACAGCAGGCGGCGCGGGCGCAGCGGCGGCCAGGCACTCGGCTGTCGCTAGCCAACCTAAGGAGACCCCCCTCGATCTGCCCAACGGGGGGCTCGCTGATGTACAGATAGACGCAATAGAAGAGGTAAGACCAGAATAAGTAGAACCTCTTACAAACTAAAGTAAGGTGACTTGAGTAGATGATATTAGAAAGAAGTTACAAAAATTTTGTTCCGATTAAAATATTGATATTACCACACAGTAAGTTTTGAATAAGATCGAAAAGCACACAGTTACTTAGATCTATCAAGAAAGATGTTGGAATAATAATTATTTCAATAAGATACGTTATTCAAAACTTCATCATAACGACAATCAATTTGAACGGGTCGTTCAGAAACTTGGGAGTCCATAAATCAAGTTGAACATTTCTATTGTCTCTCCAGCGAGAGCGAGACGAACGAGCAATTCATTAGGACTAAAAACTTGATCGTTACAGCCGTGAAGTAGGAACATCTATTGTAATAAATTCATCTTTTGTGCCCGACTGTACCTTCGTCTTCTTCACAATGGATACTGAAATGTGATAAATTTTTGTTCGCGACTATACATTCCTCTATTATCATGCCTTGATTCTAAAACCTTCAATATATCTTGGTAATATTTGTTGGTTCAAAATATTTCATGACCACAACTGAGTTCAGTTTCTTTGACAAGCATTCGAACATTGATATACTCGTAGTTATTGCTAATTTTATTATTGTTTCTTAAAATTCTATCTCTTTCGGTTATCTTTACACTTTTAAATTGTTATTGCTTTACTAGCTGTTGCCCGCGACTATGCCTATCCATGTCAGCTACACTCCAGTGAAATCGGCCCAGTCATTTCGGAGATTACCGAACAAACGCGGTTTGCGGACAGACAGACATACATTTTTTTATGCGATTTTCGTAATAAGCAACGCAAATACATCATCTTCCCGAAATCTGGAATTTTTCTTTTGATACTCCAAGCAAACGGACACTTCAAGTTTATTATATGTATAGATTCAAAAAAAGATTTGACTTCTTTGTTAAACACCGTCTCCTGCTTCCATGTCAGAATTCAAAATGGCCGTCACTCGAATGTCAACTCAAGTTAACGACGTGCTCAGTTCACAAAAAGTACACGAACACTGCAATTAAATTGAGATATAGTTTTTGAAGTCGGTCAATGGAGCTTCCGACGTCCCGCAGCCGGACTTGAGATTTATCATCCAATTAAAACGAAACGAGAAGATTCTCTCAGAATGAGAATACTTCCAATGTCAGAGAATTAAATTTCTACTCAATTCCATATACGATCTGAACTACTATCTATACTACTACTACCCGTGCGGCTTCATCCGCATGGAATTACAAAAACTATATTTTAATGTTTACATTTGTCAAATTCTCAATTGCAAATCTCAAAATTACCGTTACCATGATTTGCTGCTTGTAGTTTATAGTCCTTTTCCCGCCTGAGGGTTTTTTCAATTTACTTACCTCCTAATTTTTAATGGCGTGAAAATATATAGCCTAAAGCATGTCGTAAATGTATGGCTTTTTATTAAAGAAATAATTATTGAAAAATATGCTGTAATTGCTGACATCTTAGGTAACAAAGAAGTGTGTGTTTACGCTTTATTATAATAGTATAGATAATAATAAAGCGTAAACACACACTTCTTTGTTGCCTAAAATGTCAGCAATTAGAGCATATTTTTGAATAATTATTTATTTAATAAAAAGCCCTACACTGACGTCACGCTTTAGGCTATATATTTTAACGCCATTAAACTTAGGGGTTAATATTTTGGATACAAACCCTAATGTGGGAAAGAGACCATAAGTTGCCGCCAACATCAAGAAAGAAAGATTGCTAAGGTTTTTCATGTCATGTCATTTTGACATTTGCTATTGATAATGTGATAAAATGTAAACAACAAAATAAAATTTTCATAATTTCATGCGGAAGCCGCACGAAAACAGCTAGTTATATAATAAAAAATAAGATTCAATAACCATAGACAGTATCAGATTCCTTTAGTTATCATCTTTCTTGGAGCGCGATTACAGCTAAAACAAAACTATCGAACAATTGTTTAGTCCCGCTTTGATTCCTTCGCTTACATGTAGGTTACTCGATTTTCAGTTTTTAAACATTTGAGTTGGCTGCGAAACAATCGACAATCGCACAATATTTGTGCGCTAGTTTATTCAAAGGTTTGCGCGCGATTATTATTAAAATAAAACTTTCAGTAAAATATTTCTATCCTCGTAGTAGTCGGTATTAAATACCGTCTCAGTGCCGTAAAGAGAAATCATCCGGTTTGCCGATAAGGCATTTGATAAACGCGTATATCTCATTTTCTCCAAAGAGATATTCCCGAGACCCGAGATTTATATTCTTTCCCAGCCAACTCGCCTGTTCCAATATTTTAAAACCTGTCAAATAACACAATGAAATGGTATTCTTGAATCGTATTCCAAATTTGAAATACTGGAACCATTTCAAGTTTGTGTCAGAATTTATTTCAACGGTTTACAATCAATTTTACAATGTTTTTGCAATAATAAAATGCAATGGATTACTTTAGGATCCTTTTTCTTAGTATAAAATATTACTGTTCTGCTCTTTTATACGTTTCAAAGATCTTCTTTTGTTAAAGATATTCAAGAGCAATTTTTAGTCAAAAACTCGTAATACGTTTATTTCCACCATAAATAAGTTTCGAATTCTTCTTTGATAGTATAAGTAAATAAAACGGAAAAGAAAATAAGATATAAGAAAACGTGACACGAACAAACATTTGGAGTTCTTGAGAAAATAGAAAATAGCCGCTTCAATAAGGAAAGTGGGTCAGATGTTGAACAAATGTCACAGATAATACCGAGCGATTCAAGCGCCTAGAATACGTAGCGATGGCGACGGCTTCAATATCATCGCCTTCACAGCAAAACAACATAACATAGAAATTTAATGAAGGGAAATATATTAACGCTATTAAAATTTGAACTGTAATAGTTGAATAGGTAATTTCCCAAGTTTAAAGGAAACGATTCTACCAGTAAACTCCATTATTTTGCCCTCCAATGTTACCAACGTAATATTCCAAAAACTTCCATCCCTGCACAACCGAGTTGTCTTGTCTGTCCTTGATGGTATTTTCAAACCGCTACGACTTTGGGTCCTTCAAGAAGTGTACCTACCAGTTCCTCAAAGGCCGACAACTCATCTATAGTTCCTCTAGTATTGTAGATATCCATGGGCGTCGTTAATCACAAGAAATTCATATTCTATTTTCTTCTTTTCTAGATACTTAGCATATACTCTTGTTTACGAGGGTCACACTGAAAGTCCTTAGAAAATTTGAATTTGCCGCCAAATCATAAAACAAATGACAAATGAATGAAATTAGTACTCTATAATATTAAAAAAGAGTTCTATCTTCAGATTTAAAGCATATTTTTGTTATATTCTTTAAAAGTAGCCAGTTCTAAAAACTTTTAGTATGGCCCTCGTATCCTTGTGTTCCTATGTTCTAAAAACCTTTAACTACATTCTGGATTTAGTTCCATAGTTTTGCTTTAGTTTATTCCAGCGGTATGTTTAATGCATTTACATTTGAATTGCAAGTGTATGTTTTGCTGCGCAGTGTACAAGTTAAACTTAGTCTAATGTATTAAGCCACTAACTTTATCACGAACGAAGGTTTTGCTTCGAAATAAAAAACTGAACGTTTCCTACTGAACTAAGTGAGACTAGGAAGTTTTTAATCGCAAGAAAGTTTGATGTGTACAAGGATTACAGAAAAATTCTTATAATCTATGTTTCTTCATGTGGTTGACTTATGAAATATTGACCAAAAAAAAACTTAGAAACTTAGGAATGCTGGCTGATATTTCAAAACTGAATTTATTTTTTTATGGAAAAGGGTTTAAAGTGTATTATCTATAAATTAATGAAAAATCATCTATCATTTACAGATAAGAAATATTTTTAAAGTGATCTCAAGTGCTGTACAAATAATATTTTAAAAAGTAATTGCAGCGTTCTTTGCAAATGCTCCGGGATTAAAGCATTAGCGTATTTGAGGAAGCGATACTTGAAAATGAAGTGAGACTTAAGGGAAAAAATACTTTATCTTATTTTCAAATGAAGTTAAAGACGGAAAACATAAAAACGGTAGATGACATAAACATTTTCTTTAATAAGGCCTTTAAACTAAAACTCCAATCTTTTCCCACAATTTTACTAAGAAAATTCTAGGCTTATCGCTTAGGCACGGACTGTAATAACGCTAGAGGAACCAACAGCTCTCCGTGTACAACTATCCTAACGTCAAAACGTGTGTTTCAGATAGGAGACCTGGAGGAAGACACGACGCCACTGGACATGTCGTGGCCGTCAGGATTCCGTAAGAGGCTCACCTACCTGCTAGTCGCACCCATTGTCTTCCCTCTTTGGTGCACCCTGCCTGATACGAGGACGCCCAAAGGTACTTAATACTTTGGAGAAAAGTGTCACGCAATCTAGCATTAGCCTGATATTATCAATACAGATAAGTAATGAAATCATTTAATATTATAAATATTATAAATACGAAAGTTTAGATGGGTGGATGTTTGCTAGCGTTTGTAGCCTAAACGGCTGAACGGACCATGAAATTTGGCACAGGTTTAGAGCATAGTCTGGAAGAACACGTAGGCTACTTGCATTTGTTTTTTTTTTTAAATTCCGCGCGGAAGGAGTCGCGGGCGAAAGCTAGTGAAACAATAATTAAAGAGGTTGTAGAAGCGTTGTCTTGTCTCCCTTAATCCTCAAAAAATAGTATATAGGAGGTATAGACTGTCATCCAAAATCCATTTCTTCGTTCAGGATTTCTCCACTACCCATCATTTTCTTATTAGATAAAGGTTAGAGAGATAAGAGGACTAGAGTCACCGTTAAGTGGTTCATTCTGTTAATTTTTTAATAAAAGAAATATTTAGATAAAGCAATTGTAATAAAAACGTTACGTTAAAATTTAAAGCAAACTTTTTAGAGAAAACCTCTACCGGTACCATTAATTAGTTGAAAAATAAAAACAAAACGCGCACGATGCTGCAGTAAGAGCTTATTTAAATAGAAAAAAGAAGCATCGCAAATTTTCTAAATTAAAATTAAATGTAGCGGGACACTTTAATTCCCCCGGGGCGGGCACTTCGCAACACTAGCGGAATTGCACGAACTGACGCCGACGTTACGATTTTACTCTGATATCATTATAATTGATACTAGTTTCCGCCTGCGACTCCGTCTGTATATATTAACAAAATGCAAATCTCAATAGCCTATGTGTTCTTCCAGACTATCCTCTACATCTATACCAAATTTCATCGAAATCCGTTCAGTCGTTGGCTACAAACTACAACAAACGTCCATCAATTTAAACTTTCGCATTTATAATTTAGAATGATTACGTACTTAGTTGATATTAAGTATTAAAACGATAAGATAACTACCAAATTATTCGTGGCTAGCTTTTGCCCGTGACTGCGTCCGCGCATAATAAAAAAAACAACCTATAGGTTCTTCCAGAATATGTTCTACATCTGTGCCTTTCTGCGAGATCTGTTATGTCATTCTAGAGATATCTATCCATTTCTTTTTGACAAAGCAATTCGACTTTAATTTTGAGTAAAAAATGGTTAGTCATTAATGTTAATTCCATTGGAGTAAAATTTTAACTTTTATTTTCTTTTCACAGGGAAAAACCTATTCCCCATAACATTTGTAGGATCAATAGTTTGGATAGCCTTCTTCTCTTACCTGATGGTTTGGTGGGCGAATGTCGCGGGGGCAACAGCGCAGATCCCACCCGAGGTAATGGGGCTGACACTGCTCGCCGCAGGTACCTCCGTGCCTGACCTCATCACCTCCGTAATCGTCGCCAGGAAGGGCTTCGGAGATATGGCGGTATCTAGCTCAGTGGGCAGCAATATCTTTGATGTTACCGTTGGGTAAGTGTGTATGTAATAAAACACTTTAAGTGTTTGCTAAACGACTCCCTTAGTAAGAATAAAAGACACAATATTACTAATGTTTTAGAGTGCGTACACAACTGTTTAGTTGCGCTTTGATTCCTATAAGCTTATATGGAGGTGTGTACACTACTCGATCTTTAGTTCTGGAACTAAACAGTTGAAGGCTGCAAAACAATTGACAATCGCACAACAGTTCTGTGATAGTCTAGCCCAAGGTGTGCACCCGCTCTTAAACTACTCCAAACTAACTCTAAAACACGATTTTAACCGCCCGTCAGTTTTTGACCGACTTCCCAAAAGAAGGAGGTACTCAATTCGTCTGTTCATTTTTTTTATCTTTAACTTAAAAATAATCATTACTAAAAGGTAGAATAACGTACATCTATACTAATATTATAAAGAGGAAAGATTTGTATTTTTGTATGTATTGAAATAACTCAAATACCACTAGGCCGATTTCAAAATTTCTGACACCATTAAAAAGCTGTTATCAGTGAGTAACAGGCTGTATTTTTTTTGTTTTTTAAATTTCACGCGGGCGAAGTCGCGACCAACAGCTAGTTATCTATCAAGTTAAAACAATACCATTTTCTAGTTGTAACCTACATAAAGGTACATTAACCCTACAAATTGGTAGCCATCAGAACAGGATAAAAAAGTCCCATTAAACGGTAAATTTGTTTGTTGCGTGCCGTACCGAGGAACCACTTGCTGCCTACCTCGCTACACTAATTTATTACAACTTCGGAAATCTATTGTTATACAGAAACAAGAATTATTACGTAAGAAATAAAGTTAACAATCAAGTAACACGCGACGATGCATACGGCCATGAAGGTATTTCCAATAACTACTAAGTGATGATAATGCTTGCACGATGTACCCTTACTTAGATATATTTATAAATCAACTAGCTGTTCCCGTGCGACTTCATCCGCATAAATTATGAAAATTTCATTTTATTGTTTACATGTGTCAAATTATCAATTGCAAATGTCAAAATGACAACCTTGCTTCCTTGATGTTGGCAGCAACTTATGGTCTCTTTCCCACATGAGGGTTTTTATCCAAAACATTTACTTCCTAAGTTTAAATAGCGTAAAAATAAATAGCCTAAAGCGTGACGCTTGTGTAGGGCTTTTTATTAAAAAAAAGAATTATTCAAAAATATGCTGTAATTGCTGACATCTTATATAATCATTACTACTGGGCCGATTTCAAAAATTCTTTCACCGTTAGAAATCTACGTTAAGAATGAGTAACATAGGCTATATTTTTTAATTTCACACGAGCGAAGTCGAGAGCAACAGCTAGTTATAAAATAACTCGAAATTTCAGTAATCCAGCCTAAACGAAATTGAACTTATGAAATTGTTACTTATTCTAGAATTTTGTAAGACTTCATTTTGTCAGCAGTTTATTTAATTTACAGTTAACATAATAATTGTAACAGCACAATTAGACACAAACTAAACAATATAATTTGAGAAGCACGTTGGCAACTCTAAGATTCGTTATGGCTTTATGTGGCAGGTTTAATGGCGCTTGGAGAGGAGCCAAAAGCGGAAAGAGGCACTTACTCTGAGACCCTAAAGCTCTGCCCCTCCCGCACTCTTCCCGGAATCCCCGCATAACCTCCTCTTCGCACCTTTTTTTTAAATATTGACCGCTTTAACTGTAATTATTAATTCATTTGTTTCTATGACTATACGTGAATAACGCATATTTATTTATTTTTTGAATACATTTAGTACAAATATTACAATAAGAATACTTAAATTAAATACTACAAGTTTAGCGCAAAGGCGGCCTTATTGCTATCTGCAATCTCGTACAGGTAAAATTTAACGATTATCTACGTTCTTTATAAATTATACCTAACTTCACTACGCGCCACTAAAGGATAGTATTAATTTTATGAACGTAAAGCCCGCTAAATACAATAAATACTGACAGCCGAACTATACGTAGTACTTACCTACGTAAACTGTAGCTAATTCTTAACTTTGACGTCTTTTACTTGATGATTTTTAACAAAAAAAAATATAATTTTGGTCTAAAAGAAAACATTTGTTAATACCAATTGTGTTTTGTCACAATACAATGCAATTCACTTTTCCCTCTGTCAATCGACCTCGGCCTTACCACTCCGGTGCCTCTTGACCTCAAGCAAGAAAACCTCAGCAATCATGTACTCAACACGCCCACACGTTAGGTCGGATACAAACCAAGTTTATACACAACAATGTAATACAATTTAATTCAGTTTTATAATATTCTGATAATATATATATTTATACTTCTATTCTTAACATTATAAAGAGGTTAAATTTGTATTTTTGTATGTATTGAAATAACTCAAAAACTACTCGGCCAATTTCAAAAATTCTTTCACCATTAAAAAGTGATTTTATCGCTGAGTAATATAGCCTATATTTTTTAATTATACGTGGATAAAGTCGCGAGCAATAGCTAGTAATTGATAAAGATTTTATAAACAAACTAAAAATCTTTTTTAGATCTTCTTCAAATATCCTAGTAAAATTTCATCATAATAGATTCAGTAAGTTACCAACTAATAGGGACCTAACCAAGATCGTTTTTAAGCTATCGGCCGATTACTCAAACGAATCTTAAATATTTTGCTTCTTAAGCATCGCTCACAATCTATTTACAATTTAATCGTAGCTTTATAATTTAAGATACTGGTTCATATATAAATTACGTTTCAGTATTCAGCAATAAACTACTACTAAAAATAGGAACTTTTCATTCCATTGAGAATTTAACGGGCACAATTTTATTGCTTAAATCACGGTGACGTTTACGAATTAAGTTACTTTCAGTTTAAACTTAGCGAACTTTGGGTATAAGTTACACCAAGTTTGCACAAACTCTAAAGTAATTTAGCTGTAGACAGGTTTTTATAACATTGTCGTAAAATACATATGACAGGCATTCATTAAAAATTATTTTTTATTTTTGGAGTTGGTTGTTTTTATATTATTGACCTAAACTAACGCCTGTGTATTATTATTTTTTGTATTCTAATCAACAAAGCTTTTACATACATTAAGATTATTCATTACATACAAAAATACAGACATAACCTCATTCTAATTTTAATGTAAAGATGTCAACTTAAAAGATTTTATTTTCAATTTCAATGATGAAATCACTAATGTTTCAACAATAAACGTAAAAAATAAAGTATTTGTATAAAAATGCGTGAATATAAAATATCAGATGCTAAACTGCGTCCAGTAAAGTGTAACAATATCTATACATGACTATCTGGCGTAGGTCCAACACGAAACTGTCACAATGTAAACAGCCGTATACTTCTCTGCTGACCCACTTTACAGTACCACGCCGTATGGACAGCTAACAAACGCATTGGGTACAGCAAAAGAGAATTTTAAATCGTAAAATTTCTAGGAAATAGTTGTACATTTTATCTTAATAATAATTTAACGCCTGTGAGATTTAACTAGCAAATATTTAGAATGTAAAAAATGCAACATTGTAAAGACTTTCATGTATAAAGATGTTGCCTGAACTTCCGCATCGATCGTTATCAGAAAATATCATAGTTAATCTTATGTCAATAGTGTTAAGGTTCAATATTCTGTAACAGGATGTAACGCACCAGTTACCAAATAAAACTAAGCTCTTAGAATGGAGGCTTTGATTTATTTTGTAACGGCAAATATTTCCTGGCCATTTGACAGCCGGAATGGGTGCGGGTTCGAAACTCTGCCAAGTTATACCTAGGATCGGTGCCGTTTTAATATAACAAAAATTAGTACGAACAAATTGACAAGAATTTTTATTTAAATACAAACAAAGCTAAATAGAATTTTATAATTGAATAGTTTTCGACCGCGGCTCCGTCCGCGTGGAAAAAAAAATGTGTTCTTCCCGTCTATCCCCTACATCTCTACCAAATTTAGTCGAGATTCATTCAGCCTTTTACGTTGTAAACTCTAACGAACATCCATCAAAAAGTAATTCATCTATTTTTCTCAAAAGAAGTGAAAAACCCTGTATTATCCAATAAAAGGAGTTTCAAACCATTTTTCTTTCCAATTACAAAGTAAAATTATCAAAACTTAACAGCGACCTATTTAGTAAAGGGCGGTAGCTTCATCACTTGCGGCCATAAACGAGCCCCGCCTCGTGGAAACTTGCTTTTTGATATTCATCTACGTTCCAATAGGCCTTGGCCCAAATATTGGGTCAAACAAATACCAACTTACGTGAAAATGGGTAGTGCGTGATCAGGGCGTGACTTGACGCTTAGATGTGTATAGCTTAATAACGACTGTACAAAGTACCTGGTTCTAATACGCGTTCCAATGACGTTGAAAGCGGTCACCTATATTTCTACAAAATTATAGGAAACCGCTTTCTTGATTAGCCTCCATTATATAACACTAGCTTTCGCCCGCGACACCGTGTGCGCGGAATCTTACTAATATTATAAATGCGAAACTTTAGATGGATGGATGGATGGATCGATGGATGTTTGTTAGCGTTTGTAGCCTAATCGGCTGAACGGATCTCCATGAAATTTGGCACAGGTTTAGGGCATAGTCTGGAAGAACACATAGGCTACTTTTTATCCCGGGAATAGTGACGGTTCCCTTGGGATACATTAATTTAGTTTTTTAATGTTTACTCGATCATTCTGAAACGGTTCAACATATCTTATTGAAATTTGGCACAGATATAAAACAAAGTCTGGAGTACACATGGGATTCATCCCCGAGAAATCTCCGGTTCCCTAGGGATACGTAGCTTTTTGTTATTTATATAGTTCTTATGTTTTCTAATACCACGCGGACGACGTCGCGGGCAACAGCTCGTTAAAAATAAAATTACATTAATAAGTAGCCTATGTGTACTTCCAAACCATGTTCTTTAGTATGCCTTTCATCGAGATGCGCTGTTAGATATTATATTGCACTTTACAATTAATAATGGTTACTAGACATAGACAAAATAATGATAATCTCGTTATTTTATCTCTGATCAAACTAATGGAAAGATAAAATTAAACTATAATGTTAAATTTTGTCATCAACTTGCCGTTAAATTATCCCTATTAAGGGTCGGCACAGTATGCTCTCTTACATTTCTATCAGCCGTCATATCTGAATCTACTCCTTTCTTAACATCCTCTTTTACATACTTACTGCGTTGGCGCAGCCACCCAAAGTGGGTCTTGGCCTCCGACACGAGAGAGCGCTGGCCCTCACGGCGTATGGGGAGCGTCACCGGGTGGCGGATGGGGGAGCGGTCGGTAGCACAGCTTAGCAAAACTAACCGGCTAAGCCCGATGGGCTCGCTGACCAAAGTAGGGTGTGGTCCACCAGCAAAAAAGTCTCTGTTACGAAACCGCCTCTTTTACATAGTACTTAATTATTTGTCTAACATTCCAGGTTACCCCTACCCTGGTTGCTGTACGGTCTGATCAACGGAGAACCAGTGCAAGTGAACTCTAAAGGCATGGTCTGCAGCATCGTGTTACTCTTCGCGATGCTGATCTTCGTCATCATCAGCATAGCCTGCTTCAGGTGGAAGATGAACAAGGGTCTCGGCTTCACAATGTTCCTTTTGTACTTCGTCTTTGTTGCTGTCAGTTTAGGTCTCGAATACGGCGTCTTCCATTGCCCGAGCGAATAGATTTGTCGTATCCGAAATTAATACAAACAAATCAAATGAAAGTAATGAGCAAACAAATGAATTGTCGATGACAGCGGATACCAAAATATGGGAACGATTAATTCCTATCGATTTTTAAAAAATACTTTGAAACTAAATTAAGGAAAATCGTACGATCCAACGAATAATGTAATCTATTTAAACGGTTTAGAGTTTTTTTAGAAGTTTCTCGAAATTTTCATTAACGAGTTTCATTGTTTTCATTTATCAATTGCTCAAATAGCACGGATATCATCTCATATAACAGTATAACAATTATAAGCAATATTGAATTTAGCGAGAAATCTTTTGAATTTAAATTAACCATAAGAAGGAAGACATTTGCATTTTAGCATAGTATAATTTTAAAACTAAGTACGTTGCCTTAGTCGATGACATTTAGTAGACAAATAGGAACAAATCGAGTAGGCGGTTATGTAAAAATAGGTGATGTTCGAAGCACAAATAATAGGTAATGTTAGGACTAATGTTGGTGATATAATGTCCATAACAAATTAATGTGAACAATGAAATAACATGAAAATGAAACTAGAAATCAGCGAAGATTGTAGATTTTTACTGAATATAAGCCAAGAATGGCGCTTTTATAAATTTATGCAATTTTTGCTGTACAATTTGAAATCGTATGCGTTTTATTTTTGTAAATATCTTAATTTTGTAATATACAATGATGTTAGTATTTTTTTCCAAATCGAGTTGTATTTTAATTGATCGTGATAGACTTTTAGTCCAATATTATTTCCTTTTGAATGTATAGAATATAGAACGTATAAATACGCAACGATTCAGTTGCATTGCATTTAAAATTCAACATAATTTACCTCAATAACAATATTAGAAAGTAGTTACCAAGAAGTACAATTGATAACAATGAACTAGGTACAATTTCAGTGTAACTGAACATCTTGTTAATCAATAATGTATATAAAAAATGCTAGTTTCAGCTATTCCATAAAATGTGCCTAAAAGTTCTCATGAACTTAAATAATAAGCCTCGATATTTGTGATCCTAAAAACTGGAGTATGTTACTCTTACATCCGATAGCAATATTATAGTTATAGAAAACGACAAATTATCCGCTTCACACCGTGGTGCATCGCAGTGCCTATACATCGAACTTTGTACACAAAATAGATGAATAAGTAAGGGCAAGATAAACGTAAATGTGTCTCAACGTGATCTTAAAACTTCAAATTTATTGGTTCATACTATTTAAAACTCAATAGATACAATGTTTTTCTAATCCTGAGAAATAACACAGCTTTTAATCTGTCGTTACATTGTCAGTATTAAAAATAATTCTTAACAAACCGTCTCTTAAAACTGTAATATTTCTTTATCTTTTTATGCTACGTTCTTTATTCAATTTATGTTTTAGCACGGTTTCGAATCTTGTTCTAAAACATAAACCGTCCGTTTTCGTTGTCTCCTTCGCTAACCTCTAAACTATCCTACTTTCTTTGACTTCGATTGTTGAATATCCAATATTTTTACATTAATAACCCGCCTATTTGACATAGCAATAATAGTCTAGTAAACGTAGTTTGTATTTATATTTAAGCTTAACGTTCCAGAACATTGTGGGAAGCTCAAACTGTGGACTATCTGCGGAAACATAACATATTGGCATCACAGTCTTTCGCATTGTAAAATCTGAGACAACAACATTTGATACAAGAGTAACATTAACATATGAATGCGCACAAATCGTTCTGCTTGAGTTCATAAAATTAACTATCGAAATCCACAGAATTGTGGTAAATTATTTCACAGAGATGTTCATGCGAAAATATATCGTAGCTTTTATTTTATTAACAAATTTTCATACAAAAAATAGAGACAATTTAATATCAATTTAAACTCCTTATTTAAATTGTAAAATACTGAAATTGTTTTGTAATAATCCAAAGAAATTAAAAACCTTAATGGTGCTACAATACTTACAATATATACTGCAAAAAACTAAATACTGAAAACAGTATGTCAATTAACATTGCGTTTCGAACAATATTTCTACGCAATCTGAATTCAAATGTGAAAATACAATCGATTAAACATAACGATGTCTGAACAATCGAGGCAAACACTGTGATATGCTCTCACCATACTCGTCTCTTACTAAGCTTGAATTCTAGATTTCTGTAGTATGCATAGCTGTGCCACTGACGATCGAACAGTTCTTTAGCATTCTTCAACTAACTCTTCATAGCTTGCATCTTATTCAATATAGACTATACGAACTGTAAGATCTATACGTGGCCATTCTTTTTATATAATAAGGTTGGAACGAATTCGATCTATAATTCTTTTTAATATAGATGTATTCTTAACTCGTCTAGTAGTAGATATCTTATCCCTGAATATATGGGATGCACCAAATATTGTATCGCCTATAACACTATTCTGTATGCTAACGATTTCATACGATTTACACTAGTGATTCTTATCTAATCTCTTGAGTAATTATAATTAGATATTATACAATCATCCTTCCATTGTTCTTATAACTTATAGTTGATAAAGTTCTGGGTCATTTAACACCTGAAGGCAGTGCCGGATTAAGGTAGCGCGAGTGTTAATTCTCTCAAGGGCTGGTTTGCTTTAGGTTCTTATGTTTAGGATATTAAGGACCTGTCCCATTAAATTATAAATTGTCTGATAATAATCCAACGTGTAATATTGGATTTTGTTCGATCTGACAGTGACGTCATTAAGCTATCAGAGTCTATCAGCTAATGGTTGGACAGGCCCTAATTAAAACAAAACTTATTTTTACAATTTAAATTGATGAAATCGAGTTTTAAGTTTAAGTCAAAGTGAAGTATAGCCTAAGTTCTTTGTGATTAAGGCATGCAAGATATTTTATGCTACTATCTCAGTTTTTTTATTGTCAGAAAGATGTAGCGGGGAGCCGCAAAATTAGCGGGGTTTGCATTTGATATTATTGCTATATGGCTAATCCGGCATTGCCTGATGGGTCATCATTCGTTAGTTTCATTAAATTGCATTTGTTTAATACCAAATAGCACAAGCCGAGTTAGAAACCATATTTCAAATGTTTGTTAATTATTAGAAATTTGATACTTTAACTAAATAAAAATATGTATTCTGATATCTTCTTCGTAGTTTAAGATTAGGTTATTAGGCTTAAAGCTAACTTTAAAAAAAAAATCTAAAAATGTTAATAAACGATATGAAAATATAATATCCAGGTAGTATTGTTACTAGAGTGGTGGTTTTTTATATAAAAAAAATATAATATGAAAATGGTTTAAGATATTTGACGAGAAAAAAAAAATAGTACGTTTCACTTTTTTCGCCACGATGACGTAACGATGAACACCAAGATATTTATATTTTATTATGATTCTCTGCCTCATCGATTTCTCCATAAACAGCTTTAAACAATCGTGTCTAGAAAAGTGAAATGAAATTAGTATATAATTTTGCTTATGCTGACACATCTCGTTTTCGCAGCCAAATAAATAACGGAGCATGTTTGAAATCTTACAAGGTTCAATTCAATCAAGTTCAATTTTAATGGAATCGATTTAACAGACGATCAATTCGATTATTGACAGTTTTTTGTTACTTTAGAGCAGTGTTTCTCAAAGATAACGCCCCCTTGGGGGTGTTTGAAAACTAGAGGGGCGTTATAGGGCCCCAGAAAATTGGGGGTGTTGATATGGGTTAGGAGGTCGATGCATAATTTGTAATTTCATTTTTATATGGTATTTTAAATTTCACTGAAATATAAAAATGGGGGGCGCTGAAAAATTGAATTTTCAAAGGGGGCAGTAAAAGAATAAGTTTGATATACACTGCTTTAGAGACTAAATTGTCAGGATCTGTATTACAAGTATTTCAGAATATCGATGTTAAGTATTTGAGAATTGTTAAATTTGAAAAAAAAATCCATATGTATTATATTAAGGGAATATTCCAGATATCTTCCATTTTAAATATGTTATAAATTTTGATCTTAATCAGGATTTAGTAGGGGTTAAAATTTTTAAAATAAATTAAGGAAGTTTTCCTGCGTCCATTCAGATGTTAGCGAAATCGAGATGCCAGCGTAGTATGTTAATAGTGATATTATTGATTAAGTGAAAGTAAAAATTGTTATTTTAAAGATATAGATAAGTTTAGGGATTTTCATCGAGTAATGATAAAATGTTGAGAATGACATCACAGTTCAATTCAATACAACGTTGTGATCCAAATGATAATTTAGCAGTATTACATGAATTTTTAGTAGAATTTGTGAAAAATTATGTTGGCGTTTGAAATGTTAAGGGGGCGTTTTTAAGACCAAATGGCATTTTAGAATATTTTCCCTTTAATTGTCAATCAATTGTTAATTATTTAATATAGAAATCGAGATAATTAATTTAATACGAATTTCATGCTTTAGATCATTAAATTTACATATTGTGGGACCTTAAATCAAGCATGTTTTTATTTATTTTGTCTTCTCGTTTTAAAAACGCTCACTTGTGGCCTGATTGAAGTTTACATTTGTTGGACAATGTGATAGATTCGCGTTTTAATAGTTTAACAGATTCAAATGTTAAGTGATTGGATTATTTAGCTGCTCTCGAAGTAAATTTGCGGATTGCGGGGAGTGCGGGGAGTGTGGGGAGTGGTGGGAGGGGGCTGAAGAGAGTATGTCGACCGTATTATGAAAAATTACAATAAAAATTATAAAATAGTTATCACTGTCTTTGTTTTTGTCAATCCTTATTTAGACCATTATGTTATTTAAAAACCAACCAACATACCAAAACTTACCAACCCGCAGTACAGCGTGGTTGGTAAGTTGGCCTAGTCACCTTTACTTAGGGTAGGCTCCGAGCCCGTAGGGACGTATAGTGATCTGTGGTGGTCGTGGTGGTGATTACTCAAAATGTTTTTTTATATCTAAAAAATGACATGAAATGAGAGCACTAGTTAGTTTCCATTTCCTTCTGTTATTAAATTAGGGAATGGTCCTGAAAACAAAATCTAAGCTTAAAACTCTTTTTGCAGAAAAAAACACTTGTTGTCATACGTCATTTATTTTGTTTATTACATTACTAGCTTTCGCCCGCGACCCCGTCCGCGCGGAGTTCTAAAACGCAAAAGTTGTAGCCTATGTATTCTTCCAGACTATCCTCGTTTATGCCAAATTTCATAGAGATCCGTTCAGCCGTTTAGGCTACAAACTCTAACAAACATCCATCCATCTAAACTTTCGCATTTATATTAGTAAGAAGTAAGATTAGTAAGAAATAAAACACTTTTAATAATTTTCAATTAAAATGAGAATTTATTATTTACACATTTCACAGGCTGTCGAAGTAATTTATTGTCTACAGATTTTTATAGGATAGTTTTTGTGTTATCATTTTTAAAATCCGTTGAAATACATTTGAGATTAGTACATAACAAATGACACCTTTGACTAAAGTATCGCACAACTGCTTAGTCTCGCTTTGTTTTCTTTAAGCTTATATGGAGGTTACACTACTCGATTGTTAGTTGTGCAAAACAGTTGAATAGACTGCAAAACAATCGACAATCGCACAATAGTCGTCTAATAGTTCAATCAAAGGTGCCTCTTAGAGTTTATTTAATAAATTGCTATTCTTATTTCACACTTTACAATATTTTTTTTAATATGCAATAGTTAGTATTTGTTTTTATATCCGTTCAGGTTTTAGTATTCATAAACTTTGGAAAAATGTAGCTATTTATATGAACAGGATTATCAAAATTATTCGTAAAAACTTCAAAATAAAAATCTTTATAATTCTGCAAGCATTGTGGACGGTCACTAAATCATAGGAAAAAGTATTAAAACCTTATTTGACTTGTTAATAAAAAACAATGTAATTTCATCATCAACTTGCCCTTATCCCTTATGTAGGGTCGGCACAGTATATGCTCTATACATCTCTATCAGCTATATCTGAATCCACTCCTTTCTTAAGCATATCCTCTTTCACACAATCCATACTTTCTTCGGTCTTCCTCTTTGTAGCCATCCACGTTCATTCTTAATGTAACCTCTATATTTGGTATATAAACAGTTTTAAAATTTCCAATGTATTTTAAGTTAGTAATACTTAATTATTTTAAAACATGCTTTGATCACTCAATCTTTTATTTGATTTATTTAGACTTTTTCTATCGCATATATCTCTATATATTTTAAAATAAAATCACATTCAAAGAAACATTAAATATAGTTTAATTTCAATACACATTTTCTCACAATTTAATTCTATGTCAAAATAACGAAAAGGTATTTTTTTAAATAATACTAGATTTTTATTAATTTACTAATAATTCCTTAAACCAATTCAACTAAGCTCTAGGCTTGTATTAGGAATATGGTTCACAATAGTCGAATGATGGGATTCGAACCCTCAATCACAAAATCGGTAGACTGTTCCCCAGAGCATTAGGCTATTGGCGCTTGAATTTTTATTTTTATATTAATTATCAGAAAGAGATTAAAAAGTTAGTTTAAATATAATTCAAATTCGTGATTACAATACGATTAGAATTTTACAAAATATACGAAAACTTTAACAACTCACATGTAAGAAGAATAAATCAAATTTCAATAAAAACGACACAAGTAAAACATCGAAGGCTTTCAAAATTTTAATATACAATATCTTTTACTAATGACCATTAGAAGTTAAACATATAATAAATCGCTTTCTTTTAAACCTTTTCATCCAATCGAAGGATCAACACCTTTTCAAATCATTTACCAACCATCTCTCCTCAATTATTCAGAGACACCGTACAACGGGTAATTACATCCAAGGTAATAGAAGTTTTTTTTATTTAAAGTACCGTATGACGGAATCGATGGCGGCAGAACAGTATGAACGCTAATAGAGCTGCGAAAGCCGCACCCGCGATCAATGTTGTGTCATCTCTTCGAGTTCCACCCGCACGCTCTACTACTACACTCTGAAACGATTAGAATAATACAATTACATTAGACTAGCTTTCGCCTGCCTGAATGAAAAAAAAAACAGAAGTGAGTAGCCTATGCGTTCTTCCAAACTGTCAGCTACATCTGTACCAAGATTCATCGAAATCTGTTCAACCGTTTAGGCTACAAACTCTAACAAACATCCATCCTCAATTCTCATTTATAATATCAGAATGATTGCTAGTGACTTCGCCCGCGTGAAATTAACACATAATAAAACACTATGTTACTCAGTGATAACCTAGCTTTTTAATGGTGAAAGAATTTTTAAAATCGGCCCAATAGTTTTTGAGTAATTTCAATACATGTAAATACAAATTCTTCCTCTTTATAATATTAGTATAGATATAAATAAGACTCCCTGAAGTGATCTTCGTTTGTTAGTGAGTCACTTCTAGAAGATCTTATATAAACTAGATGGCATACTTAAGAAAAAGAAAGAAGGAAAAGATGCTGCATAAAGTAAGAGCGGGCGCACACCTTAGACTAAACTGCCGCACAGCAGTTGTGCGATTTTCGATTGTTTTACAGTCAATTCAACTATTTAGCTGCGCATAACAAGAGTCCTTGTTACATCTTACAGCATTCTAGTGTGAGACCAGGTTTAACTCAAATCTTAGGTAAATTATCTGCTGTAACTATTAGTCTAGTAGTAAATACTTCTTACCCATCCTCCATGTCGATTGGCCCACGGCGTCGCGCATTGCGCCACATGCCTTGCCGCCCAATCCGCCGCGCGACACCAGCCCCCTACCCTGACTGCGCGCGCGCACACCTCGCAGAGGAAGGCTAGCACCACCAACGCTCTGTTTTCCACGTGTGAACACGCCTGGAACAAGTCAATTCTTACAAATGCATATGAAGAGTAGACTGTCAAATATATGTAGCGACGCATTTTAATTTCCCGATCTGCACACCTTTCTCGAATCTTCTATACCACATCTTTCTCTGTTATACGCGTCAATCGATATTAAGCTTTCAGGTACATTGTTTCCAGAATACCTTGTATCCTTTTCCTTCATAAAATTTTAACATGCTGAATAGCATAATGTTCACCTAATGTTCTTCACAATATCTTTCAAACCATATATAATTCTCTTTAGTATTAGTTCTAACCTGACATAGTTCCTGCATAATATCTTCAAAGGCGACTTCATCTAAGCTGAGTAGGGGTATGTGTTCAGCTCTCGCGGCCAGGATAGCCCGCGCCTTGGTTTCCCTGAACCTCTTAGCTGCTCGTTCCAGCGACCTCCAATCTCGCCAGTACAACCACCATCCTCTAAAACATAACCTAGTTTGAGGATACTAAAATAGATCCTATGATAGGAATCTCTATCTTGAGTAGACTACGGTGCATTCGCTTGGAGATCCCAGCACACTCAAATTATACCTAAGGGCAGCCACCGAAGGGATTTTTAGTGAGAAGAAATCTCACATAACCATGTCTTTTTTTATAAAAAAAAAGTGTCTTTCGAAGTTTTTCCCCCCAACCCCATTACCAAAAACCTCAGGGCTCAAATTTACATTGAACGTTTGCAGAACTATTAAGTTTTTATCTGACTACAAGCATTAGCGTGTCTTGTCTTACCTGTGATCAGGTTTCGCTGGCACAAGCATGCATGGCGGTGGCCTCAACTCCTCAAGCCTCAGATGCTGGAGTAGCAGAGCCCTGAACAGCCTCACCCCCCTTTCCTGGTCATCTCCCTGAATGTAATGTCCCCGCCAGTGTCCCTGGCAGTCATCCGGACGCTCTTCATCCAAGGATACTTGTCGAAGTAATGGCGCTCTAGGGGTCTCATAGTCTTCTAATGGTTGAACGCTGCAGGCTAAGGAAGTACGACTTTTTAGTTTGTCTTTTTACCCAATTATCTTATGTTATAAAGAGGAAAGATTTGTATTTTTGTATGTATTGAAATAACTCAAAAACTACTGAGCCGATTTTAAAAATTCTTTCTCCGTTAGAAAGTTAATTTATCGGTGATAACATAGGCTATATTTTAAATTTCACGGGGACGAAGTCACGATCAACAGCTAGTTAAAAATAAACTTGTTAGTATAAGTAGATTATATCGTGTTAGGAACAAAGATTTTAGCAATACGTCAAAGCTAATAAAAATATTGTAACTAAGAATTTCGGATACGCTTTTTATTTTTGCGTTTATTAAATAAAAAATAAATAAAAAACAACTACTATTGATTAAACGCAACAGTTTTCTCATCTAATTAAGTATATGAATTCAGATATTTTACCAAAGATATAATGTCGTAAAAAACATTAAATTTTAATTAACTTAAATCGAAACAATCAATTACTGGTTCACTTACCTTACTTGAATTGTAATTATTTCAAACAAAACTTATAAATTGCAGATATACGTAAAAATAACCTCAAAATCTACAAAAACAACTTACATTAATATCTCTTACTAACCGTGTACGGACGCTAAGGGTGGTACCAAATCCATTTTAGAATCCAATAAGGTTATAACCAAAGAGTTTGTACTCCAAAGGATCAGTTCCACTGGCTGACAGTACACTAAACATTTGTGACCTTGCAACCATGTCATGGCCCTGACATATTTTTCAGCGCATGCGCGAAGCCGACAGCCACAAGGGTTGCCAAGAACTGAGATATTCTGTTAAAAACCATATTTTTAATCTTAACTAAGAAATACTTTGCAAATAGATGTGGTCTATGACCTCGATCTCAAAAAAATACTAGACTACAGTCTTATACTATGCTTTTTAATGTATATTCTTACTTGAAACGATACAGAGATCTCTCACACTTTAACTGAACAGGTCAATTGACAGTTAAAATTTTGTCTGCACAGTTATAACTGAACAGTTCGAATTGTCACAACTAAAGGAGGCTTAATACATCCTTTGTTATGTTGTTAAGTACTTGATAATGGATTTTTAACCTTAAATATTGGTAATTAATCAAATTACCCTCTAATTTAAATACCCTCGCCATCCAAGAGACACATTCTTGTTAAAATAAGATAAGACAAAAGGATGCTGTTTAAATAATAATATTTTGAATCTTACCACATGTTTTAATGCGTTTTTTACGCGCCACATGTGGTAATATTTACTTTTATTCCAGTAATACACGTGCGGGACGACTGTCGATTGTTTGATTGACCGCGGGAGCAATGGGCCCTCGCAATTGTTAGTTATCAGCCAGTTATAGCTGACACAGGAAGGATCGCGCTATACGGAGTTACAGATAACAGAGAAAACATACGCATAGCTTATCCTAAATATATTTAAATAAGTGTAAATAATGCTATATATTGTACTAGTGAAGTGAGCAGTGTTATAAGTGAAAGATGCAACAATGGCTACAAAACGTAAATTAACAGATGAATCTAAATGTTGTCGAAGACTGTCTCTGTTTGCAACCTTCTGTGGGATTCTCTCTCTACTTCTGCACACGTACAAGTTAATTGAAACGGATAATATAAAATTAGATGATAGTACGATAGATAATTTAAAATCTTCGTTAGAGAAACGAATAGAAGAGTACATATCAGAAATTGGGGTCACCAAGCATAGATTAAAAAGAGAAGCGATGCTGGTAAGTGACGTTTTATTTTATTTCAACGCAACAGTAGTCATTTAAATTATAATTAACACATAGATTAAATAAATAATGGATAAAGATTTGTTTAATCTATGTTTGTTTCGATGCGATAAGAGTTATAGAAATCTAGGATAGATAGATATCTAATTATCACTTGTTGTGGAAAATTAAACTTGACTTAAGTTCTAAACATGACAAAATAATTAAGTTTGTTAATACCGCTCTCCGTATGTTGAAAATAAATTAACTACAGACTTGATAACTGTTAACTGCAGTTCTGATTGTATCTTTTCAACAAACAGAAGACATCAGTAGTCCAAGAGGAGAATACAGTAGCTCCTCACGTGGAGTTCTTCAACCCCAAGATGCGAGCTGAGCTGGAGGAGAAAGACGCAGCGGAGATGAAGCGGACGGGTGCGAAGGGGCCAGCGCCCGGCGGAGACTCCTGGGTCTGGCTTACCAGCTACTCCAGGGTGCCGGTACGTCAGAGATTACAAGAAGTTTAAAAACAGCTAACCTCCCACAAAAACGTCCTTAGTGAGGCCCATAATCACTTCTATGGTATGACATAATTTTGATACTTTCAGTACAAGGTGGTGCAGGGTTTCTGTAAAGCGACTCAGGATTACTGCCCTCCAGGAGTGCCGGGTCCCAAAGGTCCAATTGGCAACCGTGGTCCAGTTGGCCCGCCAGGAGTTAAAGGTACAATATCCTTTCTAAGAATTCCATTAAAATTATTTGTCAATGCCAATTTTCAACAAAAAACAGTTATTTACAATTGGATGTTATTGGATTTCCAGGTGAACGAGGTTTCCCTGGTAACCCCGGTCTCGATGGCAGAGATGGCGTGCCAGGAGAACCGGGATTGGATGGTCTGTCGGGCAGAAATGGCGCGGATGGTGCCCCAGGCAGAGACGGTAGAGACGGCATGCCGGGCAAGGACGGTAGCCCGGGCAAAAACGGAAAGGATGGCAAAGATGGTGCGTGGTTCAATTATTTCCAAACACATGACAATCAATACAATTAAAAATTATATCAAATATGTATTATTAGGAAAACCTGGAGCCATTGGACCTCCAGGTGTACGAGGACCTAAAGGTGATCGAGGTCCAATAGGACCTAAAGGACAACGAGGTAACGACGGTCGTGATGGCGCCCCAGGCAGGCCTGGCCTCTCTATATACAACTACACCAAAGAAAAGGAACTCTTTATTCCACCTACATTCTCACGTAAGGCCTTTGCAGATAATATAAAAAAGATATGATCCATGAGTATCATGCTCAATATTTAATAATATTAATTTTTAGAGGAGCATACACGTGTAATAGTCAGAGAAGGAGACACTCTCCGCATCAGCTGCAACCCTATGGGACGACCTGACCCAAGTATTGAATGGCGTAGAGTCGACAGCAACGCTATCATTCAGGTATCACTACGAATCATATAATGAGTTGTTTCTTCAAACAAACTATGTTCTGTAACTCTACATGTCTTTCTATTTGGTCTCCTTGCAGGGTCCATGGCGTGACGCATCTGTAAGCGGCCACCTATTGAACATCCCTAACGTGTCGCGTTGGCACACTGGGACCTATGTCTGCATGGCTAACAACGGCATGCTGCCATCAGCCAACCAGACCACTGATGTTGAGATACATTGTAAGTATACCGATAAGTATAGGTAGGAACATACAATAATAGATTTTAATAATCCTCTTTGCTTTCAGTCAGTCCATATATTCGTGTGCCCAATAACATTGTCTACGTGTTCAACAAGACAGCAAAGGTCGAATGTGAGGTGAGTTCAAATAAATATAAATAAAGAAGAAATTAAAGAATACCAGTCACTTAATAGAAGAATTTTGCAGCAATTTCTAATCCAATTGATATATTTCAGATTCAAGCGTGGCCAGAGCCTGTACTTGCATGGGAAGTCGACGGTGTAACCCTTGAAGGTCCAAGGTATCGGACTGAGGTAGCGACCACCGGAGATCCCTGGCGATGGGTGATGCGCCTTGAGATCCCTGGCATCAGGGATCATGATCTAAGACAGTACAGCTGCGTAGCCAAGAATGAACTTAATAATCAGACTGTTAAAGGTCACATTCGGTTAATGTGTAAGTACACCCACAAGATTAACATATCTTCTTCTGTTCTTTACGTTATGCCACAACCTACAAATAACAGTTGGCCACAAGTATACTTTTATATAGTGACTGCCATTATAATGTTTAATATTTCTTGCTGCGAGATATTCCAATGCTATATAATAACATTCTTGTATGTAATCTCAGACCCAGGTCCGAACACCAATAACATAGTAGAACAGCCGATGGAGTTCGGGTCTCGCCCCCCGCCGTTCACGTCGTACGAGGAGCTGTGCCAGGTGCGACGCTGTCCCGCCTGCCCGAGCTGTCACCGTGCAAACCTCCTTATCTCCACAATGAACTCTACTGCCGGATTCAAGCCTAGAAGGAACACCAGTAAGTCACATATAGTCTCTTGTAGTTTAAGGACATAAGGAGTATGACCTAAAATTCTAATCACTCTTTTTTATATTTGTAGACTGCCAGTTATACGCGATCGGAAAGCCAGTCTATCATCGTTACAAAGATGAACTGTTTGGAGCCTGGCTTCGAGATTCCAATGCTACAGAAACGCAGGTACCGACAGAAAAATAATGTCTACGGTTATAATATTAGAAATAAGAAATGGTTCAGAATTTAAGAACTAAGAGCGCCATCTATTGAACAGGACTGATTATTAACAATTGTAATATTACAGAGAGAAAAGTTATGGACGACTCAGGAGAGCGACGTGGAGCGGCTTCGCGAGTACCGCACAAAGGCTAGCTTCAAAGCAGACCACGTGGATGAGTACCACAAGCTGCAGAAACCGTTCTTTGTACATATTTTATTATACTACTAGTAGTTCTCTTATTTCTATTGTATTTTTGTGTATGTAGTTTATATAGTCATTGCATAAATATGCATTGACTCTATAATTGCAATTTTGAGATGATTCACATTCCAAAGTCTGTTATTGGTACGTTTTAAAACACCAGGGCAATGGTCACATCGTATACAGTGGGTCCTTCTTCTATCAAGCAAACGAATCGGGTCATCCCGGAGATATTATCCGTTACGACCTAACGCAGAGCCGCATCAAATCTGTACATCTACCGCATGCTGATGGACGACTCTACACCGCGCAGCATAACCAGGTATATTATATGTAGTTATAATAGTAATTAGTAATAGAGATAAAGTAGTAATAGAAGAGCTTACTTTAAGTTAATACCTACCCACCACCACCCATAGCCAAACCGACCCTCAGGTCATACGGGCCGAATCGCAGGAGGGCGCACACGGTCTAACCGCATGCACCTTCTTGACTCCCTACAAGTTATATTGTCATTTATTTGTAACAAGTCTCCCCCTAATGGGTGTGACGACACAATGGACACGGACATGTTCACCGTCGGGCATCCACACCAGCGCCTTACTCCAGTCTATATCTTCGCTGATGCCATCCATGTGCAAATTCACGTAACTTAGCAAAGTTCACCCCGTTGCTAACAAGATCTGGGTTATAAATCGAGCCCGCGTTCTGCAGAGTAATTCCATCCATTATCTTCATCCTCAGATCGTCATACTGATGACATTCCCACAAAACGTGATGAATATCCTCCTCAGCCTCACCGCGCTCACACATACTCGATTTAACCAATCTCATTTCGTGCAGCCTCTTTCTAAAACTTTAAGTTAATAGTCTTATTTTGCTGTGCAGGTCGACTTCAGTGCAGATGACAACGGGCTGTGGGTAATCTATTCAATTGAAGACTCAAACAACACAGCCGTAGCCAAGGTATGAAATGTTTGCAGAACATATTTACGGTAGTTTATTTATCTTCAATCAATGAGTCTTTAAACTTTGAATGTGAGGTTTTCTTCTTTATCGAGAAATTATATTAAAATGTTCATATTTTTCAGCTAAACTTCGACCCTAATAAGGACGATCTCAACATCGACTATATTTGGAACATATCTCTTAATCATAAACAGGTGAGCTAAATGTTTATCTATAGATTTTAAAATATCCTAATAAATTTTGAAAACAGCGCCATCTACTTTATAAAAAGTAACTATATATTTTTATATATTTTTTAATTAATATTGGGTTTCTATCCTACAGGTGGGTGAAATGTTTATAGTGTGCGGCGTGCTTTATGCTTTGGATTCGGCGACGGAGCGGGAAAGCAAGGTTTCTGTGGCAATCGACTTGTACCTCAGCAAGCCGCTAGAGGTCTCCCTGCAGTTCACCAACCCTTTTAGGAAGACAACGCAGCTTGGATACGATCATATACATAAAGTATGACTAATATGGTTAAATTACTAGACTGCTTTTGGAATCCCTGTTTCTATATTCGTACTTTCTCAACTTAAAATTATCACTAATTATTGATACTTTTTACAGGAATTATACTCGTGGGATCGCGGTAATCAGCTAACGTATCCTGTTAGATACAACGAAATGCCTGGGCCATAGTGAACCATAAAAAACCTAGTTTAAAATTAATGTTTTGTATTTTAAGATTTTTTTTAATAAATGATTATAAAGAAATACGTTGCATCTTACTTTTAAATCAAATAATACTAGTGACATCTAGTTTCGGAAAAACACAACAATTTAAACTCAATGACCTGTTTTGTGATTAATATTGTCACATAAAGATGGCGCTGATAATAATTGTTGTAATGTAGTTAAAAATTAAACACACAGTAAAGTTGCCCCATATTGATAATGAATGTATAAATTATTCTGCAGTTCAATTTTAGATTCAAATAAAAATATGCATAGCGCATAATAAGTTCGTTACAAATTCAACATGGATTAATTTATAAATTTATGAATTTTACATGATCTATTACGTTCTCGCAGAACGCACATTATTTTTATAGTTTGAATACAAATGAGGTAAGTGGTATTACATATTATTATTTAGATTTATAGCCCAAAAGTATGTAATCAACCTAAATTTGTATTACATTCCCACAAAAACTTAGTCCAAATTAAATATTACATCTCAATAACTGTAAAAATGAATGCTCCACTTTCAACAGCCTCGCTAAAATTTTGCAAAGTAATAATACAAGCGCTCTGTCATATCATAAACGAGAACTAACGACTCACGATTCGATATCTGAACAGGCTTCGACCGTCAAAAGCGCTCGTAGGGGGGCATTTGGCCCATTTCAACCCCCCTCATTTTTCGCCACAATAGCTAGCAATACATTCCGTGACTTGGCAGAACTTGATGGCTAGAAGTTGGCCCCTCGGCGCGATCAATACTTGCGCACAGCGCCATCTAGCCAGCGACGCGCAGCCAAATTGCACTTTAATAGTTCATTAGATCCGACAAAAATGGCGGGGACACAGTTTAAATTCGGAACGCGATATTGATTCGCGGATACGAAAAGTTTTACGACATGAGTTGGAAAAAACTGTCTGCTTTGTCTCTGCTGAGGTTTTGGTGAAATATTTAAAAGTATTATACATGTATTCAATAGAATTAAAATGTTACTAGCTATCGTCCGCGACTCCGTCCGGGTGGAATTATAAAAACAAAAGTGATTAGCCTATGTGTTCTTCCAGACTATCCTCTACGTCTATGCCAAATTTCATTGAGATCCGTTCAGCCGTTTAGGCTACAAACTCTAACAAACATCCATCCATCTAAACTTTCGCATTTATAATATTAGTTAGAAGTATGAAGTATGATTTGCTTATTTTCCTTGCGTTCAGGCTATAATTGAAATAATTTTCTAAGACTTACTTACGAGGTAGGGTAACCAAGGTTGAATGCAGTTTATAATACGTTTGTGTTCTGCAGATTTCATATTTTAATGAAAATGTTGTTAATTCGATATCCTTAAATTTGCCTTACCTTAAAAATTTCCAATAAAGGTGTTTACCTCTAATTTGCTACTAAGATCTGATTAAACTAACATGATGTATAAAAAAACATAAGAGAAAAAAATAAGGGCAGCTGTAGACAGGTTTTTTCGATGAATAGTAATTCTGGGACATCTTTTACCCTTACAATTATTAACTGGTTATGTAATAAACTAATTCGTGACAAAATTCCGTCATTTATCATATTAGGTCAGGGTCAAGAAATTTATTGTGTCACTAGACAGTAACATGAACCAGGTAAATAGGTAATTTCGCTATAATTCTTCGGGGAGTGTATGTACAGCGTAACCCCACCCCGCCTGCTTTCTCCCTACCCCCTACCCCACCGGAGACGAGTGAATGAATTATGACTCGATCAGGTCCGCATTTAGTGAGAACGCCAACCTATTAGTACTATGGAAAGTATTTATAACATCCATTGACTCAGCAGTTGTTTAGATACAGTAATGGAAGACCGTAGTGGTTGGATTGTATGAAAGAGGATATAACGACTGATAGAGATGTATGGAAGAGCAGCACACTGTGCCGACCCTCCGTAGAGACAAGGGCGAGTTGATAATGGCTCCTCTGCATCCTTATTTAGTACTAGTTATTACAGTGTTTTAAGGAACTAAAACCATACATAGGAAATATCTTTCTTTAACTATATTTTTACTATGAAAATAAACTCGATTTTATGTCTGTAATAGGGTAAGCAGAAACTTGACGCAATCCTCACCCCTCCATATTTATACATCGATGCCTAAATCTTTGCATATGTCGTTTCTTGGTGTTCGATTCTATTCAGAACTCCCACACGAGCTAATGAAGACAGTATCTAAATCTCGAAATCTTTTAAATTTATTAAAATTTATAGTATCTAGTAACTACATAAAGGTTTAAAAAAATATTAGCTTCAATCTTTATCGCTTAAAAATAGAATTATTGAAATGTTAATGGCCAGTACGATTTCGTGGTATGAAAAAAAATCAAAACTTCAAAAAAAAAAGAAATCATCATAAACGTCAAATATAAAACTATTTTATACATAAAAGCTGTATTTCAAGTATTTTGCTTCTTACTAAATCGATAAATCATAATCACTTTGGCTCAATAAATGTAAAACCTTCGGATTTCGCTTTATATTTAAACTTCTTGGCTCTTGGGCCGACAGAAAACTGATTCTGGCACACTACTGAATTTGGAGAAATTCTTTACAAGAAGATAAGAGCTACAGACAGATTTTAACGTACTCAGTGGACGATAAGCTGCAATTTCAAACAGTAAGCATTACATTGAAAGTGGACATTACAATTTTTAGGTTATAAAGTAAAAGAGACTTGTATTTACAAGGCTCTTTTACTTTGTAATCTTTGCATCCTTTATTCTGAAATATGCAAATGCGGATGTCTATGGTTATGCCATTTTGAATTTTGGTAGCCGCTTAATTGTTTTTCACCTTGTATTAAAAAAGAAGAGTTAAATGAACACTAAATGTGTTCCTTAGTGAAGGTTTAGTATAAGATCTACCATAATGTGCCGCAAATCTGGTAGAAAGATGGTAATGTTAGAAAGTCGTTAAAAACAAAAGTGTAGAGTAAAACATGAATTTCACTTTTAATAGAGATCAGCTGTTTACACGTAATTTACTATTTATTATTATGTATAACAGAACGTAGGCATCGTACTACGTACATACCGACTGTCGGGATTTCCTCGATCTCAGTCGAGACAGATGTTTGAACATTCGAGCGCTTGCAGCGCTTTACAGTCCCGTTTTATATTACAAATAGTTTTATCTAATTATTCTAATTTAGTCTTGGAAAACTAATTATGAACATTGTTAATTGTGTTTTTTGTGGCAAGAAAATAATAGGGACTGTCCCACTAAATTTTAAATTGTCTGATACTAATCCAACGTGTACATGTGATGGAAATATCGGATTGTTACCTTATCTGACAGTGACGTCGTTTTTAAGCTATCTGAATATCAGCCAGTGGTGGGACATGCCCTAAGTGTTATGATAAATATATACGTCCTACCTTCATTACAAGTATAGATTAACATTAAAATTACTGTAGTATATGAACAAGTTGCTTTAATTTTAAGCATGCAATAAACTTGTAAAACCAGATCTTTGTGTTTGAACTAGAACTGATATTTATTCTGCAGTTCTTTACACATAATGTATTTACTTAGTATATAAAGTGTAATTTGTTATTTTAAATACTCTGCATCAAGCAATATATCGTTGATATAAATAGTTTTTAATATTGATACTAAAATACATCATACAAAAATTTCTACCTGGATCTACAGCAACTAATACCTGTGTCTCGGACAAAATGACAAAAAAAAACATAAACAAATAAAGGTCAACGTACGTATTGCACCGACAGCGGCTTCAGCGCTGCCGCGGTGAATCTCAGCTGAGCTGAGTCGCTCGCCGGCCGCCACCTGACGTGCGCCGCCCCGCCCCGCGCCACCCCGCAGCCGTCAGCTGTTAATGTGCTCCCCCGCCGCCACCGCGCCCCCCACCCCGCGGCGCCCCGCCCCCGGCCTTTCCCCTTCGTTTGTGTAATGTGAGGAGGCAAGGCACGAATGGATTAGGAAGGTCCATTTTTTGCCCATATTTTTTTATGTCTTACTGCTATTGCCTCTCTTATTTCGGGTTCGCCATAGTAATAATATAGAATTACTTTATATTACTATTACAAGCCTGGAATACCAAGTATAATAAGTAAAAAATAAAATAGTTTGCTGAGAGACAAGTATTTGGTAATGTATTTGTCCTTTCCACGTCGATGCAGTCGAGTTTCAGAAGTATATGACAATGTTGTCGACTTTATGATGAGTAAATCGATATCAGTGCCATCGGAGAATATCACAAAAATGCCAACTTTTAATAATGTATCTCACATTATGCCCGCCAAATGAATAATTTATTGCAGTATGTCGATTCGGGGCGAGCATCCTCAGGCTGGCGAGCGAGGGGCGGAGGGCGCCGGCCGCGGGGGGCGGCGGCCACACGCCGCACGTCAGTCCGCGCCGAGCGGCCGAGCGAGCACCATGTCTGCGTGCTCGCCACGCGCGTGCTGCCGGCCGCGCGCCCCGCCGTCGTTGCTTGACATCACGGCGAAGATCGTGGCGGCTGCGATCCCGTTCCAGCGCATCGAGGAGCGCTACGAACGCATCCCGGAGCCGGTGCAGCGGCGCGTCGTGTACTGGTCGTTCCCGCGGGACGAGCGCGACATCTGCATGTACTCTTCACTGGCGCGCGCGCCGCCCGACGACCACCGCAACATCGCCTTCTGCCGCGGCCTCAAGCTGCTGGAGGCCGGCTGCGTGGAAAGCGTGCTACAAGTCGGTGAGTGTGCGCACCGCGCAGGCGCCTGTTTACTAATACGCGCCTCGCCCACCCGCGCCGTATAAATAAAAACGACGTGTGCGATCGATAACCGCTCCTCTCGGGAATTATTCATGCGTCGGGTGAGATAAGGGCTCGGCGCGGTGCGGATGACGGGCCAGGCCGCGGCGACCGCTGCGTCCGCGACACCGATATCTCGATGGATCGATGCTCAAGAGCGGTCCGCTGGCGACGGGCGCCCGCAAAACTCGTTACGAGCGACCGCAGCCGCCTCAACCGGTAGGAAACCGACATAATTAATCGGATTTCGTTTTATAAGCGGCCGCCTCGCATCCATATTCCATGAGAGCGTCGGCCTACCTTCATAATTAAAGTCTACTTTCAAAACTGCGTCGGAACGGTTCGTGAAATTCGGCTAACATTACCATAACTGGATGTCCCGTTATAAGCATAGGGAATTACACGACCGGCTCGTTTCGGTCGGTCGCGCGCCGCGCGTGGGCTCGGAGGCTGCGGCATTAATCAGCACGAGTGTTCTTAACTAACGGACGCGAATAAACAAATATTAATTAGGCCGTTTACATTTTATGGGGTCGGCGGCGGTGGCGGTGGCGGCGCGAGCGGCGGGGGCTCGGGGCCGTGGGAGGACGTCGTTTACATATTCATTTGGGCTTATCTGGCATCAAGAGATGGTGATTGCGCGCCGCTAGGGGCGGGCGAGGCGAGGTGAGGCGCGGTGAGATGCCGCATTCGAGCCGCACGCCTCACCTTCAACCTCTAATGCGATAAAAACTTATGGAGCAAGCACTGGCCGGTTTCCAAGTACAGGGCGGGGAAAGAGATGCGGCTGGGGACATGAATCATTGCAGCCTGCGCTATTGCCACCAGTTCCCACACTATGGACTGACTCACGAACCTTACCCGCCCACTTTAACAGAACTTCTCTTACTTAGATCACAGCACCATGTAGAAATCAATTATATTTGGTTGTATATTAACAGTTTGAATTCTGAGTTCTTTGAATTTGCCTATTACATAATTTATAATGTATATGACTATAGAAATCTAAAAGCTTTTCTTATGCTTGTTTCTGTTTGAAAAGATTACGAGTGCTCTTAAAAGCAAACTAGTCTAACCAGATTTATACGAAATACGTATAAATATGCATTATAAGTTCTGGGTCCCTTTAAACTGAGTGCATTATAAAGTTTGCATTTTGATTGCATTGTAATGCAGAAAATGCAAGGTATTTTAATGAAATGTTAATAGCTCTTTAGTATGAAATTCCCGAAACGGACCGGTTTTTGCTTACCCTTATTGAATTATGATGTTCCAGTTTTCTTTGTTAATATTTTGGTCTTAATCCTAGAGTGGTTTTAGTTGCTCACCTGCTTAATATTGAACGCAATATCTTTATTCGCAGATAGAATTCAAACCAAGATTGATTAATTTTTAAAAAAAATTAAATAGTATTCGATAATTTCATAATTTACTCAAAATCAACGATACATCTTAGTAAAAACAATTATAATTTTATGCCAGAAATATTTAACAAAAAAGAAAAATATATGAATTTTTAGCGCCAACTTGTGTGCCACCATAAAAAGAAAAAAAACCTGTATTGTCGTTGATTAAAATATGAGGAAATAAGGTATTCCCGGGCTTCATGAAGCGAACATCGGAATATTTAATAGTAAAATTGATCATAGATTATTCAATAGACAAGCTACCGTCTGTCATAATGGCCGGTTTAAATTTTAAAAACAAAACAGCGCCATTTCCCGCCATTACTGTGACGTTAATCTTTTATTATCTGTACAGACATTTCTTTGTATTGCTCACGTTCTTATGGATTTACCTGAGTATTTTATTTTTATTACTTTGTAAAAAACTTAATGTTGGTTTTCAATAGGATTAAAATAATTTCAAAGATGGAGTTCTATACTTTAAATTAATCATTCCATAATACTAATATAAACGCGAAGATTTAGATAGATTGATTTTTTTAAACTAAAAAAGTTGACTAATTTTCGGTATACCAGTCTATTAGAAACTTTACAGAAGCGACACAAGATTGAAATTAGATTGTTTATAAACCTAATTCTGATGAACCGAAGTTATGGAGGTTCCCAAGAAACGATGTATGAATATGGGATAATATGTATGAATCATGTCGGGCCTTTTGGGCAATAACACGACTGCCGTTTGGGCAATAACACGACTACAGTTTGGGCCTTCTGGGAACCTGCACACGTGACTACATTGTGATAAAAATGCATTCATAAATTCTATGAAGATATTTGGGTAACGAATATCACGTCATAATAAAAATCTGATAACGGAAAAAATTATACACATTTTTGGAAATAAAACAAAGGAAATTCTAAATCATACTTCATACTAATATCATAAATGCGAAAGTTTAGATGGATGGATGTTTGTTGACTAAACGGCTGAACGGATTTCAATGGAATTTGGTAAAGATGTAGAAGATAGGCTGGAAGAACACAGAGGATCCTTTTGTTTAATTCCACGCTGCCATAATCACAACCGACATAAACGTAAACAAACCATTGACGCTCCACTTTGACCTTTCTAAATTATGAATGACGAACAATCAATGTACGTGTAGCCAACCAGTGGTAGTGCCCGCTTTAACATCTTAGCACGAATAGGCCGGCACGCCTGGTGTAATACCACGACCACAAAGAAGACAGACGTTAAATAGAAGCAATTCCGTGTTTCGTCTGATGAGTGTGGTGCCGGAGGCCTAATTTAAGTCCCTGTCTCTTTACCACCCTTTTCTTATGAGGAGAGGATGGGAAGGGGAAGTGGATTTGACGGAGGAGGAGATACATAGGAAGGGGAGATATTCTCTTCATGTGCGTCTCCTCCTCTGTTGGATAAGGGTAGGCAACGCATCTGCAATTGCGGGTGTCTATGGGCAGCGGTCGCTTCGCCATTTTGGCGGATTCAGATGGCCGCTTGCTCGTTTGCCACCTTATGTCATAAAAAAAAGTAGAAAGAATTACTCGACTTGTGTAATTCCTATCGAATACGGTAATGATTCATGTCAAAGTCAATTAAAGGTCAAGGAATTTCCCAGATATACTGATAGATTTGACTCCTTTAATAATCTAGATGAGTCATTTTTGTAAGTACAAATTGTTTTAAGAAATACCTTTCAGCTGTACAAATACCTAGCGAGCTACGTGAAAACCTTCTAGAATGTTCAATCAACACGCGGCTAGAATTTAACACCAAGAAGAATTTCAATTTTCTCTCGCCGGTGACGCGATTCCGAAGTTTGTGTCGCAAAAAAACAATTACGTCGCCTGTGCTCTTTCTGTTTGTTTTTTGTCAAAGGAAAAAGTTTCTATTGGTTATTTGACGGTGCTAAAACACTTTTTAGTCGATAATTGGGTAAAAATAGATTTCACTATTGTATGTAATCGAAAAAGACAAAGAGAATTAACACTAGATTAACAAATTATTGGTTTTGTAATACTAACACGTAATAGTATTGCTATGTCCAAATACCTATTCTACATTACTAAAGGGAGGTAAATATTTTTTTATTCACACTCTGCCACTACAGTTGCGAATAGTCATAGTGCAAGTTGATTGACAGTCCAGTAATTGAGGGCTACTCCCAACTGTACTGGCTAAGTGTGAACCGCGTTTAAAAGTGGAGAAGTAGGAAAGAACAGTACAGAAACATTCTAAAAAACAGTTTCAATTGTATATATTTACATGTAAATATTTTTTCATCCCATACTATGCAATGGTTGACTACAAATGTAATAATTATATTTATATCAATAGAACCATTAAGTTAACTTTTTTATATCAAGTAACAACCGAGTGTAAAGCGACCAATTCAATAACCAGCATGCGAAAAAAAACAATCGCGGTTTCATAGCAACAAAGAAACACAGAGCGTAACCGAGACATCCTGAATGCTCCTCTATCCATAACAGAGTTGCCATAGTGCGACCATGTGAGCGCTTCTGTCCTCGATATACCAAGAACCAGTAGCAGATGACACATCCAAATACAACCGAAAACCCTTTTCAAACCCAACTATAAAGAGTAACCGCGGGACGCGGGGTCTCAACTAAATCTGGTCGTGTCAACAAAGACATGGCTGTAAGCGAATACACCTCGGCGTTTTAGTGGCCAATGACTTTTAAATATACACTTCCGATGGCTCTTATTACATGAGACATAAAGGAGGTTTTCATCTGTCTTAACTGGGATTGTGTGAACAGTGAATTATTGAAGGCAAACGAGATCACGAAGACTTGTCTTGTTGAATAGTCAAGATGACTTTGTACCAACTATTTACTAATATTTTAATGGTGTCGCATCCTGCTTCTCTATGATCATTGTTCTAAATCGACACAGGTAGCATATTGCATAAATAAATAAATGCTTGAATATAGAAATACTGTTATTAATGCAATAAAAATACCATCAATGTCTAGGGTAGACTGAATTGGCTATTCTAAATTTTAATTTCAATTTTTATAACTATTAGAACTCGTGCACACTTAAAACTAAACCACGCACAACTGTTTAGTCTCGCTTTGTTTCCTATAAGCTTATATGGAGGTAGGCACACTAGATTTTTATTTGTGCAACTAAACAGTTGAATTAGCTGCGAAACAATTGACAATCGCACAACGGTTGTGCGATATTTTAATTAAAGGTGTGCGCATATCCACGATTATTTGTGTGTTTGACCATTTTTTTACACAATAAGAACATTAGACTCCGTTAACTGAACGACGTGACAAATTCACAGTATTGCAGTGTTACTTCCTGCTTCCACTGTGTAGTCGAAGTTAACTGCAACTGAACTGGTCGCATTAGAGTCGTGCGGTTGATAGCATGGTGGAAATAACCACTTAGGTATGCGGTTATAATCGTAAATGTGAGACTAGACAACTGTACATTGAATAATGAATCATAACAGCTAATATATGTGAGAAAATAAC